TGTTATCGAACGCCTAAACATTCAAATTCTGCCGAAAAAATATCGATTTTATCCGGAGAAAAGAAAGACGGCAGCGGCTATGCATCATCATCATCATCATCACTACAAGCATCTCAATCAATGCCAATTTTTGTTGGCCATTCACTTAATGCCCGATCGTCAAGTCCTGAAAATATGTTTCTTTCCATTCCTAATAATAATAATAATAACAATAATAATAACAACAACAACAACAATAATAGTAATAATATTAATATTAGTCATAATAATAATAATAATAACAACAACAACAACAACAATAATAATAACAATGCATCATCACCTCCACAGAATTTAGGCAAATCGCCATCCATTACTAGTGGTGGTGCTGGGAGTTGTCGTCAATCATCAGAAGATTTGACGTACGAGTGTGAGCCTGAAGACGGACCTCTGTTTCGTGCAACTCTTACAGCATTTGAAAAGAAAACGGTTTCATTGAAACATCATATTAAAAGAATATTGAAAGCTGCCATTGCTTCTCATGAGGTTTTGATCGGATCTCAGGGAGCTGACCAAGAACTTTTAGACGCTTTAAGGGATGCTGCTGTATCTCATCCACAAGCCTTTCAACCTGTGCTAGATAGTTTCCTTGAAGAGGCGTATAAAAAAATTAGTTTATATCGAGAGAATGTTGCAAATCAAATGACCATGTTGCTCATAGAACCCTTACGTAAATTGTACGAAAATGATATAAAGGTGGCCGATAGCAAAAAGAAGGACTTTGAAGAAGAATCGCGCGACTACTACCAATTTCTCTCTAAATACTTGTCTATTAAAGTTGATTCCGCAAAAGAAAAGAAAAAACTTGAATCTGATACAAAATATCAAAGTAAACGTAGAAATTTTGAATTAAAAAAGTTTGATTATTATGCATATATGCAAGATCTTCATTGCGGTAGAAAAGATCAAGAGATTTTATATCATTTGATAAATTTTGCGGAAAAACAATTTACTTTCTATCAACTGACAGCCACTGGTATTTTAGATATGAAACCGGGGTTAGATAAATTGAGTATAGATGTTGCTGAAGCAGCAAAAGAGAATCATTTAATGAGGAAAGAAAGAGAGGAAAGACGTAGAGCATTGGAAATTCGTATGTCACCTAATTCAACATCAACTGTCGAGAATCTTAATGAAAATGATTTATCGAATAACAGCTATAATAATAATATTGGCGGTGGTGGAAATATAACGGATAATACAAATGATAACACAGATAACGTAACAATGAATCAAATAGGTTCATTAGTTCATGCAGCAAATCGATTCAAAGGAATTCGTGATTTGGAACATCATGATACAGAATCTGCATCATCGGTTGGTAGAAAGAAGGAAGGATTTTTATTTGCTACATCGCGGGCAACACAACATGGAACTACAGATCCAATTGCAAAAAATACTTGGCACAAGTAAGCAAATTTTATTTTTATTATTAAAATTTGAAATTAGTTAATATAATTAATTAATTAATAATAAATAAATAAAACAACAATAATAGATATTGGTGTGTTTTGGCTGGTGGACAACTTTGTGAATATAGTAATTGGAGAAAACAATTGGAAACACATAACGAGCCAATAAATTTACGATTTGCCACTGTTAGAGAAGCAAGGGGGATTGACCGCCGGTTTTGTTTTGAAGTAATTACACCACAATTTAGAAGAATATATCAAGCAATGTCTGATGATGATATGAGTTCTTGGGTTACAGTAATTTCCAATGCAATAGAGAGCCTTCTAAATGGTACTAGTAGTTGTCGTAATTTAGATAATCGAATTTTAACTTCAGATACAGGAGATCCTGGAGCAGTAACGTTGTTTAATAATACAAAATCAGTAAAAAGAAGAGGAACTCTGCCCAGCTTGTCGGATAAAAGGAAGAATGACATGAAAAAAAATCATGTTGCTGTTTCTTCAATATCTGAAGAATCAAAAAGGCCTACACAATTAAATGGACAAGCTCGTAAAAATTCAATTTTTAATAAAAACTCTACTAAAATTCTTGAAGAAATCATTGGCTCAGATGCATCTAATGTTTATTGTGCTGATTGTGATTCTCGTAAAACAGAATGGTGTTCGATAAATTTGGGAATTGTATTATGCATTGGTAATTATCATTTTAGATAATTTATTTTTTATTATTTATTTTATTATTTAAATTAAAAAAATTCTTTTTTCAATAGAATGTTCTGGAATTCATCGTAGTTTAGGAACTCATGTTTCAAAGATTAGATCCCTTACTTTGGACACAACTTCTTATACACCAGATCTTGTTCAATTGATTAAATCTATTGGAAATGCTCGTTCTAACGCAATTTGGGAAGCAAATCTTTTACACTCTGATGAAGAAACTGATTTACCGCCAATCCCACCTTCAAAGGATGACGCGCCTCCTCCAGTACCACCAAAGGATCATATACCATCCAAAGTTCAAAATTCAGATTGGGATGATCTTATTAATCTTATAACACCAACACCGGCATCGACGTCATCTACCGCCACCACTACATCACTAATAATTACACCGTCATCACCACCATCATCGCCATCAATAGGATCCAAAAAAAAAATGGTTAAAATGAAAAAACCATCAAGTACAGATTCTCGTGATATCAAGCAGAAATTTATTACATTGAAATATGTTGATAAAGCTTTTGTTGATTTTTCACTTGTTGATGAAGATAAGACGGCAACTGATATACTTTTTGAGGCAGTAAAGATGAATGACGTTCCTCAAGCAATGCAAGCGATTGCATTGAAAGCGGATTTAAATGCTACAAGACGTTTTGAAGTTGCAGATGATCATGGATTGAAGTCACCGGTGATATTAGCCTTACTTCATATCGAACCTTCAAGAATGATATTTGAAGGTGGGAGACCTTTGTTCCAGATGGCAGAATTACTTTTACAAAATGGTGCAAGTCTTGATAATGTCTTGTCAGATAATCTTGTGGAGATACTTGGTGTAGCATCACAACCGATTACACGAAGTTCTGCGAAAAGTGTAGGTACTTGGACTAAAGATATAGTGAATGATATAAAGAAATCAGGGAAAACTGTGTATGATGTTGTTCAGTCAAGTGGGAATAATGCGGCAATTCGATATCTTACACCAAAAATGCTTGCGAGAGGAACTTTAAATCCCACTATTAATTCCATTAGCAATAACAACAACAATTCTATTTCTAATTCTAATTCTATCATAACAACAACAAGCACTGGTGGTTTAGCAGGAGGACAAATTCCAGAAAAAAAGCTATCCACCTCAAACATAGGTCGGTCAATATCAGTAACAGTCAAAAATGTATTGTCATGACAGGTTCATAACTTTGCGTTATTAAAAGATTGATTGCTAAGATTTTATTTATTTATAATATTAATGCTATTTTATTTATTTTATTTTAATTAATCTATTGTATTAAATTCTATTAACTAACTGCTTATATATAATATTTTATTTAAATTCTATGTTAATTATGTTAATTGTAATAATAATATATTTGATATAGAGTTGGCGGAATTAATTAATTAATTTTATATTTTATTTATTTATTTATTTAAATCCTTGTATATATATTTGTTTAAATAAAAAGAATACGAATAATTTTTGCCTATAGGAAATAACTTTTTTGGCCATGTTTTTTACTCGGATTATTATGACTGATTATTTGCAATGAAATTTCTCAAACATTTAGTAAATGTTTCCTAATAAATTATTATTATTATTTAAAAATATCCGACACAATGTAACAATTCATATTTAAATTTTTGTTGCCATTCTTCAATAATATTTGTAATCTCTTGATCCAAATCTTTTGATTTTTCATTATCAATCTGTTTGTTTTAGAGAAAGAAAATTAACCATAATATTAAGATAAATAAGCAGTCATCAATTCAATCCATACCGTTTGTGCAAGTTGCAATATGGCTCGACCTGCTAACATAGCATCTTCATGATTATCTTTAATATCGATATTAATCACATGAACTGGTATGTTTCGTTCTTCTCCACGATCTACCAAATCTATCATATATGCATATTATTTTACAATAAATATTACTTAATCAAATAAATATATTAAACATTAATCTTTTCTCTTCTACACCCACTTCTTTCTTATTCTTCTTATTCTTCTTATTCTCTAATTATTGCTCTCCTAATTATTATCATTGTTATTATTATTGTTATTTATTACCTTCACAAATTGCATCAAAGCAACGTTCTTCACATGTAATAATAACATCAAAATTTTCTTTTGCATTAGTGTACCATTGTTCAGGTGCTAATTTAATTTTCCGATTTCTATCTAACATATCTAACAATCCATTTTGTTTATATCTAATAATAATAATAATAATTAAGTATTGGATACAAATTTCGAGCTTTATAAATAAATATTATCACAAACGCACACACACACATACAACTTGGGATCTTTCATAAATAAATCTTGATACATGTACTCATATGGTGTACCAAACTGATATATATTTGGTTTATCGATACTAGGTCCTGGGAGTCTAACAGCCGAGCCTGTCCCGTAAGAACTAACTGAAAATCCACGTTTACTACATACATATTGTAATTTAATGAGAGGTATGTATATATGTACATCATATTATATATATAATATGAAATATAATTAATGCTTACGATAAAACATGATGTGCTTCCATACTACGATTTTGATTGCTTGCGCACACAACAGCAAATGATTTGCCCATTATTATTATTTTTTATAATTAGTTGAATTCTGAGGGGGGCAAAGAAGTTTTTTTGGAAATTTAGACCGTGCGACATACGTAATAGTAATAATGAAATAATGAATGGCCATCTATTCGTCTTACCTCAAACTATATAGTGCTTACAAGGACCGCAGTTTTAGGTCCTTTAACATTTTTAAGAATTGACTCCTATCTTTCAAATTACATAAATAATACACATTTAAATACTTTTTAGAAATGACAATGACAAGTGAAGAAAATACCAATTCTAATGCTATTCCTAATCCCGAAGCACAAATAACTTATCAAAAGAATTGGGAGTATGAACAATCTATAAAGAAGGAAGAGGCAGGTAAAATACCTCTTATATGTCTTGAAGAAGATATTAAATCTTTATATTCTGAATATGAAAATGGCAGTGAAACATATCGTAGCAAGATCAAGGTTCGTTGTTATTTATATTAATCTCGTATTATTTATTTAATAAATTGGCATTTAAGAGTTTCTTCAAAAAAATAACATCATAATTAATATAATAATATTTATTTATTTGTAGAAATTGGCAGAAAAGCATAGTAAAATAAGAAGATGTCGTGGTGATGGAAATTGTTTTTATCGAGGTAGTAAATTAATCTTGCTTTTTTACACTCACATGTATATGCTCATAATTATGAATAATAATTATAACAATTATCATGATTTTTATTTAGCATTTGGATTTGCATGGTTTGAAAGACTCATGATGTGTAACAATCAAAATCTTCGACAGGCCGCACTTAAATCTTTTGCCGATACAAAAGATCTTCTTAAATCAATGGGTTATGAATTGTTTGTTTATGAAGTAAGTTACGAGGAAGTAGAGGACAGATTGAAAGCTGTTTGTAACGGCGAACATGTTGGAGAAACTTTATTGTCAATATTTCAAAATGATGAAGTTTCAAATCATATTGTATGGTATCTTCGAGCAATCACGGCAGCATACCTAAAAAAACACCGTGAAGAATATGAACCATTTATTGAATATGGATTAGAAATGGATCAATACTGTGCTAATTGTGTTGAAGTTATGGCTCAAGAAGCTGACCATATTCATGTTATTGCATTAACAAAAGCACTCAAAGTTCCTGTTGAAATTGCATATATGAGTGGTTCAGAAATATTGGATGAAGTTAATTTTCATGAATTTTATTTTGATGAAGAAGAAGAAGAAGAAGAAAAAAAGAAGGAAGATAATGAGGGAGAGAAAAATGGAGAGAATGAGGGAGAGAAAAATGGAGGAAAGAATGAGGGAGAGAATGAGAAAGAGAAAGAGAAAGAAGAGAAAGAAGAAGAGAAAGGGAAAGAGAAAAAAAGGGCTCCTAAGGAACCACTTACTCTTAAACCTTTAGTTTTATTATACAGACCAGGACACTATGATATTTTATATCGTAATGAATTCTGATGGATTGTTACGATAATTTAAATATATATATTTTTTAATTATTAATAAGGAATTTGTACAAATAAATATAAATATAAATAATAAATATACAAAATAGCAATAATAGTAATAGTAATAATAATATATTTATTTTATTTGTTTATAATAATAAATATTTGACGGCATTTTCCTTCTTCAAAATAAAAACTTTGTTTCAGATCCTTTCTTTTGGTGTGAAATTCTTATAAAGTATAATCAATTACACTCTTTCAATTCTTCATTATCAAAACCACTGTATTATTAGTATTAACATTATCTGCTACTTTGAATATATATTATATATTATGCAAGTTTAAACATTATGAATAGATAAATATTTTTTATTCTAAATCATCATAATAAAGATGGAAGTTGAGATTGATGATAATGATTAATAAGTTGTCAATGTGGTAGTATAAGAGATTGATTTAGATTATTATCAATTCTGAAATGCATCCAAGAGGATTGATTTAATAAGTGTTGTCTAATAAAAACATATTAATAGTAAATGGATGATGGATATCTGCAGATTGTATCACTAATATAACCTTCTTTAACTATCTTTTCACACATTCCATTACAAAATCCTTAGATTCTGATTTTTTTTTGTTTTGAAATAGATGAAAACTCATCATTTTTAAAAATTCTATTTTAAAAGTTTAAGTTCCAATTTTCTATTAAAACATCCAGTAAAACATCCATTTAAATCCACCTCATGATAAAAAGTGATCGTATTTAAATTTTTTGGTAGTGTTCATTTAAAATTTTGAATATTCTATCCCATCCATATCCATCTTACCATTCATCTTAAATCTAATTTTTTTTTAATTTTATACAATTAATGAGTAATTATTCCCCATTTATACTGTGAGATTGTAAACCGTGGACCAACCAATTAGAACGAACTTACTACGGAAGTCATGTGATGCGCTAAATATTACATTACGATTAACGATCAACTTTCTATATTTATCAGTCGTGGGACATGTCACAAAAATTTATTTCTACTGCAAAAACAGTGAATTTTGATGATCGGCATCGAATTTTTCATAGTAAAATTTGCAATTGAATACTTTCAAACCCCAGTTTAGTGCCCTTGTTGTTTAGCAATCATCACCAAACTTGATATATAGTTTCTTTATAGTATAAATCTATTTCATGAAAATTTTTGAGGCAGGTTGTTAATAAAACTGTAGATAATCACAACCTCAAAGTTTTTTTTTTGTTTCTGTGATCTTTGTGTGTAGAAAATTGTCATTCATATTGATTGCAAACAAATAGTTATTTTTTTACAAGTAATTACAGAACCCAGTCGCTTATGTATGCTTTCTGCTAGAATTTATTATATTATTACATATTAAGAATAGAATTTTGCTAGGGAAAACTTATAAAGTAATGTAAAAATTATTCATTATTATATATATACACACATATATAGTTTCAGCTTTAAATTTATTAATATACTATTGTATTTTTTTAATATAAAGAAAGGTTTCATTCTTGGTACAAAGGAAGATTTTGTTTTTGGTACAAAGAAAAGTTTTGTTTTTGGCACAAAAGAAAGATTACATTTTGATATAAAGAATTAATGCTGATAAAGTTATTATAAATATAAGATGTTTAAATCAATTGTATTATAAAATTTAATATTCCATTTAATTAAAGAAAACATTAAACTAATAAATTTATAAACAAATTCTGAATTTAGTTTTTTAAATGAATTCTTTGATTCAAACTTATTGGCAATATTAATAGAAAACAATGACCAGATTGATCTAACTCATTGCCAATATTAGTAGAAATCAATGACCAGATTGATTCTATATTAGAATTTGATGAATATTTATTCCAACAATCAATGAATGATGCTATTATTTGATGATAATATAAAAGAAAACCTGTCTATGAGTGAAATAAATGAAGATTATGAAGATAATCAAGAAGAATATGATAAAGTAACAACAATGGAAGGAAATATTCCTCAATGTGTAAGATATATTGTACAAATTATTGGATAACAAATGGAGGGCATCTACATATAATAACAGGAACAAAACCATGTATACATGATAAAGAATCATCCCCATCTTTGATTTTTTTTTTTTTAGATGGATCAACAATGTTGCTTCTTCAGATGATATAAATGCAAAAAATATATTATTAAATCTTTTAATACAAGTTTTTAAAAATTTTAATACAGAAGTTTCTACCAAATCTATAGTACAAGATTTCACATCAACAGAATCCATAGTAGAAGAATCCTCTATATCTTCTAATAATTTAATAGTTCCTAGACCAACTTTATTTCTTTTAAGTGTAGTATTTAGAGCAAATAAAATATCTATAAATGAAAATTTACAATCAAATTAATTACAAATGGAATCATATATAAAATTTAGTAAATCTTTAGCAACATCTGTATGGAAATCACATACCCAACTTATAGAAAATAAAGAAACATTAGAGAACCTGCCACACTTGCTGAATTTTACGAAAAGATTTTAATGACCTTATTTTTTGGCTTATTTATGATCTAGAAGAAAAAAAATATGATGCAATAAAAAGAAAAAAAAAACAATGCAAATTACCTCTGCCTGTGTTCAATGAATCTAATGTAATAAAGCTCACTACATTTTGGCATAGTAATATTAATATTTGCTTTTCCTAATGCTTTACACAAGTGATGTTGTCATTATGCCAGAAACCAAGACTGATGCCTTATCTATATTAAATATTACAAAAAGTCCATGTTGTTCCACATACAGATACATCTAAAAGAGTAGAAGAAATAGAAGAAATATAAGAAGATGCAATGAATATGGAATTAGCAAAGGTTTCAGAAATGCCTATCCAACAGCCAGAAATATCAAATCAAATTGAAAAGGATGTTCCAGTACCTTCTACCTCAAATTTAATTTTACCAGATCTAATTGTAATTCAAAGAAGGGTGTTTTCAGATGAAGAAAAAGAAATCCTTAAAAAGTTAGATCAACATACATAATTTTTGCCTGCAAGTTTTGTTGAAGAATATTGATGGAATTAAAAAATTATTCAAGTTCTTGGACTTAAAACAAATTAAAGATCATTGGTATAATAAATACAAAAGAAACAAAAATACTTAACTTTTTTAATATTTCCATTAGTTAAATGGTAAAAATTTTTTTTTCTATTTCTAATTCATCAAATAAATAATATACCTATAGAATTTATTATTTTAAATATTGATATACTTAGTCCATTCAATTTATTCATTTTTTTTTTGTTAATTGTAAAAAAAGATTCAGTGAATGATTTTTATGTGAATAGTATTAAAAGTCTCTGAAAGAGTTTTCTTGAACCTCTCTAAAACTTATTAACCAACATCCCCTATAAAGTAATAACCATATGAAAGCTTAAAGTATTCTACATCTTGTCTGTTACTATCAAGTCTTTTAAAGCAATATTGGTAGATAATTACAACTTTGAAGTGAAAAAGCACCACTACTTTTAAACAGCCATAGCTTTATATAGAGAACATTCTCAGATATAAAAATATATGGTTAGAAGCTTAAATGGTGTAGTTCCTTTTTATCTTAATAGTGAAGTTCAAGTTTATTATTAGAAAGTCGAGATATTTTTAAACCCCGATTTGTTAGACAGATTTGAATTTTTAATTTCACATATATTACACATGTCCCACGACTGTTATGTAATAAAAAATTACATAAAAATTTTTTTTCGATTTTGTTCTGTTCATGCATAGTAGTTATCTTTTTCCAAATAAGAATGATCATTGGGTGCCAAATCTCATTTTGATAATAAAATCATTCAACTTCAAACCACTAAGGACCTCAACCATAAATTTCTATTCCAATCAAACCAAATATACACTGGACTTCTTCAATTCCTAAAAATATAGGTAATTGTCCATAGAAATTATTTATTAACAATATATTTCTTTACAATTTATTGGAGTAGATTTTTTATTAGATAGTAATAGTAAATCAAAAACCAGTAATAAAACAGACTAACCAAGTGAAATATTGTGAGTTATTAAGTCCATATATTATCGTTGTTTAAAATTAAATTATAATCAACAAATATTTATTAATATAATTTTAAATAGTGTAAGTATTTTAAGAATGGTGGTGGTGGTCGCCACTCATCATCACTCTAGTTCTAATCAATACATAATAAATAATTTCTTTCTGAACTGTTTTTTTATTTAATTAGTGCAAATGATAAGTCACCAGAGTGTCAAGATTATACTCAGTAGGTTTTTTTATCATTTTCAGTACAATCATGAGAAAAATTACAATAAAATTCTATGATCATCAATTGAATCACAAAACAAAAAATCTTGTTTACATTAGTGATGGTGACAAAGAAATTTTATCTGATGGTGAGAATTTGCTCATTCTATTTATCAACTGTCCTAAAACTTTTACATTAACCTGACATCTGCTTCCATTATGTAAAAGATATAATTGATGATAATTCAGGTTGTAGGACTCCAGTGAATCAAATAAAATCTGATAAACTACTCAGAGCTGCTACTGAAAGTCTTGCAAGTCCAGATGAATCAAAGTATTATTTTTTTTACTCTGAAAATATTTATTGCTTAAATATTCTTGTTGTGCATACATTCCAAATACTGAATGGGTCTAACATTGAACAGTACTTCAAGGAATTCATTTCATATTTCAATGAATACAAAGAAATACAATTAAGTGATCCATATTCGTAAGTGTTCAATTACCTTCTCTGCTTTACCTTTAAAAGAGTGTTTACTATATAATGCCACACAAAGTCTTGCCACTGAAGCACTAATATCTTAATATCTTTAATGTATAGATGTACAAATGATGATGTAATGGACATTTGTGGTGAATGTTGGAAGCAAATTTTAAATGATTACTTTTTGGTAATCATACATAAACATTATTTGCTTTTATAAGATTTACAAATCAATTGTTCATACTTATAGGAGACTATTTCAAGTGGTGGGTAGGGTTTGTATTCATGAATATCATAAGGGGGTCACACAGGGTCACACACTATCAAAATCAAGTGATCAACTCATGTTTTTAAGGGATTTTTTGCTGTTTTAATTAATAGTGTGTAACTCCCTTAATGATATTCATGAATAAAAACCAGGGCTGGCTGCGTAACTCAAATGAGCACTTGGCTAAACTGACTAAACTATTTAGTCATTGTTAAGTCAAGTTTAGTCAAGATGATTGTTACTAAATTAGGGTTTTAACCCCTTTATGCTGCCAGCCCTGATAAAAACCCTAGTGGTGGGTCACCGAAAACAATACGTGAGTGGGTCAAGGTAACTGATGAGCTTAATGCTGTCAAAGATAGTGATATCAATGAAGCTATTAAGTTCAAAAAAATGCCTTAATTGTGTCATGTCACCACTGTAAGCATTACATATTTAAAAAGACAATTGTTTAATTCATATCATTTATTCATTGGTTGGTTCAACTAATGTTTAACTTTTCATCTCATTTTATCTGCTGGATATCGGCTTACCAGATACATCTGAGCATCATTATTGGGCTGAATTTGCACATAACTTCTTTTCAAAGGCATTACAATACTTTGCAAATTTAAATTGGATGATGTAAGAGTTGGGTTCAATAGGAAAATTTTAATATTGCATTGAATTGATCTTATTGAATTTTTTAGTCTGGAGGTCCCAGTTTATGCTTCAAAAACTTTGGATTAAATCATGCACTTGAAAAAGTTGTTGATGGGAAGTTTGCAGATATTTTGGCACAGACTTGGGATACAAAAGAAGAGCTATTTGTGGGTGAACAAGCTAATGCCCCAACAAATCCTGATCTTACAAAATATGCTACTGACTGGTTTAAATTATATAGAGAATTACGAGATTGTTTAAATTTGAGGATATTACAAGCAATGAAACTAGGAGATATCAATTATAATGATCATTTAGTTTTTGGAATACTTGGTTACTTATATGAAATGAAAATGACAATTATGTGGAAAGATGGTATTTATATTTATGAAGAATTTGGTAGTTTTACAATAGCATCACACATTGGCATGATTCACCAAATGAAAGCTGGAATTACAAAACTTCTTGAATTTATAGTAAGTCTTGTTTATTATCACCCATAAAACTATCACCCCCACCTAAAAGAGATGGGAGTTTTGTAGTGGTTCTTTATATAATAATCGTTCAATTTTTTTTATTTCTTTTTCTTTGCTTCTAATTGCTTTTTTTAACTCTTTTTTATTGAAATTTTTATCTGACATATTCTTGATCATTGTTTTGCAGATGATTATAAAGGAAGAGTCATCCAAAATTCGACATTTCAGTTTTAATGGTGATGAGGTACAAATTTTAAAAAGAAAATTCCAAGAAATAATAACTCAAACGCAAGAATCACCACCTAAAAGACCAAAATCAAAGGCTGCATGCTAATGTGATGATGTATTTAATATCTGCTTTTTCAAGATTTTATCATGTAATTTTTTTCAATTGTGTATTGTTATATCAATTTTTTTTATATATTGCACCAATTTCAAAAAATTCTTATTTCCATTCCTCCTCCTTCAACTTTTTCTTCAACTCCTCCAACTTGTCCAATTTCTCCTCCGTTTTCCTTAACCTTTTTTCTGCCTTTCTGATTCTTAAAATATAAAAAGTTTTTTTTTGTATCTATCAGTCAATCGGTATTTCTCAAAATTATAGGGGACTCATAATTTATTAAATTTGCAAATTGAAATTTCTATAAGTTCATTGTTTTCAACAATCTTTCTTTTTTTATTTGAATTCTTAAAAGATTTAATATAAAGTTTAATAAGTGAAAATAATTTTTTCAAAATAATTGTATAATAATGGAAAAAAAGATGGCAACAATAAAAGAAAATAATTCTAAATTTAACAATATGTAATAATAAGTTAATAATAGTATTTCTATCCATGATGACAGAAAAATATGATGGATTAGAAGTTATTCTGATGTTAAGAAGTAGGAAGAAGAGAAAGATGGCAAGATTTTATTGGGAAGTACAGTTTATTTGTGATTGTATATTAAGAACAAATTACTCGGGTAGAAAATGTTATCACTCAAATTAGACACAATTTCTTCCATGAGCCCACAAATTTGTAAGTGATAACCAAGAAAATATCATCATCTTATACTACTACCATTACCACCAAAACACTAAAAGCTACAAAAAATCCAGTTAATAATGAAACATCTTAGTCATTTTTAATGGACAGTAATAAATTGAACAGTATAGATGATGATTGTGCTAAACCAAGAAAAAGAACACAATATAGTTTCAATATTATATTATTTGCTTTAATAAAAAAATAAATCCAATCTTTATTTGTAATTGAATTTTTTAAACAAAACAAAAATTAATACTAAGAGGGGTAGTTTTGGCTAACAACTTTAGTTTCCTTTTAAGAAAAAGATAAAAGTAAAGGGACTATTAAGAACAACAAGAAGCATAAATTGTGATAAAAATAAATAGGAAATAATTCTTTTTAGAAATTATTATTATCACCAATTCCAGTAAATTTGAACCCTAAAGTTTCTTTACAATGTAATGTTCACTTTGTCTGGTTTTGTTGCAGCATGCCCCATATATAAAAAAAATTGAAATCAATTGTGAAAATCCATTCCTTATATAGGACGTTCTCTCCTGTTGTCAGCTGACTGGCTATGGAACCCAAAAGTCAGTGACCAATGAACAGCACAATTCGGCTTTAGATTTGATATAATTGTATATCACTTTTAATTTATTAAAAATGCATGATTTTATGGAATATTGTCTTCGTCAATATTTTAAAGCTACCGATTGGAATGATGACAACCAGTATTCAAATTTATGTGCTGCTTCTCGAGGTGAGCTTTATGGACTTTAATGTAAGAATCTTATGTACTTTATATTGTCATTATTATCATGATGTCTTTAGAGGGAATATGAATTTAATTAAATGTAATTGTCTCCTTTTGATAGCTATTTTGGATTTTCAAATACCCCGAGGTTTTACTTTTGCAATATCAAAAATCCAAACATCACTTTTTAAATCTTCATATTCATTAAATGCATCACCAATACTAAATGGATCTTTGGGATTTTTATTTACTTCGCGTCCTTTAATTATTGATTTAAGCAGTCATTTAAAATTTACAGAAATAATTGATCGATTTAATGTTAATTATATTCCAAATATAAATACAAATAATGAAAAAGAAATTCAACCAATTAAGGGTAAACTTTTTCCACTGAATTTTTTATTAAATAATAAATGACATTGAAGATTTTATCTGATATTTAAAAAAAAAAATATTAAATACATATATTTAGATTATTTGCTATATGGAAGATTACATATTCCCACAACACGACTTGAAACCATTTATTCCAAAAGATTTTCATCAAGAATACAGTGTGTAATCACAAGTGTTAATGATCTTAGGATAAGATCTGACTCACATGTAATTAGTTAATGAATTACTCATTTAACATAAATATTTATAATATTCTATTAGTTATTCATAAACATTTTAAAATTAAGCTTACTGCAGAACTTCAATATGATACTGGAAAATGGTGTAATGAATTCTCTTATACAACTGATGGAGAATTATTTGGTATTAGAGGTTTATACAATTTTTCAGGTCATAATTTAGAAGAAAAAGAAGTTATTGAAGAAGTTCAAGAAGCTCTATCAAAAAAAGAAAAGGACACTAAAAAATATTATGTTGAAAAAAAAACTATTGACAAATCACCTGATCTTGATGAGGTTGATGAAGTTGAAGTATTAAAGGGGGTATGGTCAATTGGTGGTGAAATATATTATGGGGTAAGAGAAAAAAGTGGTGGAGGTGTGTGCAGCAGCTGTTGAATCATTTTCTTTAGATAAAAATTTTTTATTTCTGAGCATCAAAAAAAATAAAATAAAAAATATTAATTGAACATTTATTTATTCATTTATTTTAATATAGTTTCGGTTGGGATTCGTTATCGAACTCTTCCTCAATATTCTAACCAAGCACCTGTTACTGTTACTTACATAATTAATCCAATAATGGGACATATGTCAGCTGCTTATGTTGCACAAGTTTCTGATGTTTTGACACTTTGTCCTAGGTTTGATTTCAATATGTATAGTTATGAAAGTGATCTGATGATTGGAGGTGAATGGTGGCAAAGAAAAAAACCAGATGAAAGAAATGATGAAACTAGTAAGCAACTAGGTGATATTAATGGTGTAGTTAAAGCTACAATTGGAACATCAAAGGTTTCTTTAAATAAATAATCTTTTCATAACATTGTCATCATCATTATTATTATACTATTATTTTTGCTGATTACTTTTTATTTATTTATAATATGTATATATATTAATGTGTTTAATAGAATGTTAAATTATTATGGGAGGGTAAATATGGAAATATTTTGTTTAGTTTAGGTTTAATTGCAGATCTCAGTTCAAGATTATCCCCAATAAAATCAGTTGGATTACAATTTCAATATTTTTCATAGACAAAAAATAAAAAATATCATTAGAATTAGAAGCATTGCTACTTGTAATGTAATGAACAATATTATATAAATTTCATTATTTTGATTGTTTATAACAATATTTCTCCACCATCAGTAAATAATATAAATCAAGATGAAAATATTAAGAAAAAGATTCTCAACTTTGGGAAAATGAACATCAGAAAAATAAGTTAATTGGTATGCATATTTTTAATTTTCAATTTATACTTATTAAATAATATAAGATTATTAAGCTATATTAGCCAAATAATCTTTAACTTCTGAAGGAGACAATTTTCTAAATAATGGTTGTTCTTTGTCTTCCATAAATCCTGTTGCATCACCACCAATAATTCCAATTTCAATTGAATTTTCAGTCATTTGCCCTTCAAATCCCTCTTTTAATGTTAAATTGAAGTATGAACTGCATCTTCCAATCCAATATCATTATTATTATCTGATATAAATATTATAATATAAATATTATATGCAAATAAATATATTTATGACTCATAAAAACCATTTAATACCATTTTTCCAAGAAAGTTTTTGCATTAACCATATTTTTCCCAATAGCAGATGCTTTCCATGCCCAGTATGACCCTGAAGGATCTACTTGATATAATGTTGGACCAGTTTCATCATAACCCATAATAAGAAGAGATACACCAAATGGACATACACCACTTTTAAATATATTTTATATTAATAAACATAAATAGAATTTATTATAAAATAAATATTAAAATCTTTAATTTTTTTTTTACATACCCACTTTGAGTAAATTCTTGCATTACACTAGCAACTTCTTTAACTAAAATTCCTGTTGGTGGATACTTGTTATATATTCTTTTATATTTTTGAGCTGCCTTTCTTGCCTTTGACAATAACACTCTAAAGTCTGGTCCCATTCCAGAATAAACAATACCAATATTTGGACAAACATTTGCAACTTTTTCAAGTGATGAATCATCAATCAATGGTGAAGCTGTTTTTTCTCAGTAGCAACAACAACTCCATTTGTAGCTAATATTATTTATTATGCATAGTATATTTAGTAAATTTCTTTAATAAGGTAAAAAGATTATTTTGCTCAAAAAAGGAAAGCCATATTTTTACACACCTTTAATACCAATGCTTGTTACACCTTGAGCAACTGCATTCAATGCATACTCGATTTGAACAAGCTTGCCCGAAGGTGAAAAAGTTGTTAATGAAAAACTAGTTTAAATAATTTAAAAAATATTATATCATTTATAATTACAACAGATTAAAATAAATTTTAGAAATGATAAATCTTTTACCTATATCTATCCGACATTTTTAAAAAAAAAATTACAAAAGATATGAGATTTCCATTGTGTCACGAATTTTAAAATAATACTAATACATTAATGCTAATACGTAAGCTCTTCCCAACAAATATAAAATGAAGACACCGTAGAAACTCCAGTTACTCCATGACTATGAAATAAGGCCTTCACTTTTACTTTTACAACATTACCATCAATGAATTTGGACTTAAAAAATTGAATCAGAATGCTCATGAAACTTGTTTTAAAAAATTTTTTTTGTAAAATCTTTAGGATAAAAAAAATGAGTACGCAGAACGCCAGCGGTCGCGTTTACTTCGTCGAAAATTATTTCGTCGACAATTATTTCATCGAAAGTTCATTTCGTCGAAAATTATTTCATCCTCGAGCCAGAGACCGAACGAGTTAGATGTAAGGAGTGTGGGAAGTTAGTTAAGAAATTAAGTGAAGAAAGCGGGGTGTGTGGGAAGT